GCATTCAGGATCGTTGATCCCGAATTATATGATCTTTTAGTCTTGTGGAATATTGGGCCCTGGCAATATCTCTTACATACCCAGTGGAATGACGTGCCCTAGAGCGTGGCTCTAACACATATGCCCAGGGCTTCTGATGTACCGGTTTATGGTCTGGCACTCAGCAACCTGTCCAGGTCTTAAGCTGACTCTGATGACCAAGACTGAGACCTGGATAGCTGCACGTAAAATATACATGAGACATCAAAACCCCAGTCTTGGGCCTTGACTCCTTCACTCTCCGTTCGCATCAAGTTTTGGTAGCCAAGTAGAGATGAGAGTCTAATAGTTTATCTTGTGCATTTGACCTCTTTCCGCTCCCCATGGGCCATTCATTCCATAGAAATTACCCTTTTCCACGGCAAATCTAGTTGCTGCTCGTCCAGCGGTATCATGTGAAAACCACGGCCGTTAACGGCTCGTTAAGCCTACCTGGGGCCTGGGAATTAGGGCTGCCCCTAAAGTTCAGGGCCCACAACGGCGCAGGGTGCCACGGCCACGGTGCCCTGGACTCAAGCGGCTGCCCAGCCCTTCAAGGGGAATGGGACCCCTGGCCTCGGCCCTCGAGCTCCCGAGACTCCAAGGGGCTGTTTTTGAAAGGCTAGTTTCTGATTTAAATTCTCAATACGATCAATAATAAATTAATAATGTAAGAGACATAGCCAGAGCTCTATATTCCACAAGAGTCAAGACTAAAAGTCATATAGTTCTGAATCTACAAAGCCCTGCGTGTAACGGCGGTATACCGCTGTTGCACTTGGTGACGGGTCGCACCTATATAGCTTTCCGCCGTTACAACAAAGCAGCTATACAGAAGCCTGCTGAAGCATGCACAAGTATAAGAAACAAGGTATACTTGGCTTTTCTGGTTTATTCAAGTTACGTTTCATATTTCTATTGAAAATAGTAGACAGAATAGACTATAGGCTATTGAGATGTGACTTACGGAGTACAGCTGAGAGAATGGTGGCCCGTAGCCTGTAGGTGATAAAACCTTCAAAAGTATACCGGTTTCTGACCAGTTGGCGGTTCTTCAGGCTCGCCCGGCGGCCCGGGCGTCATGCGTCATGCTGATGCAAAACCAGTTGGCAGATCAAGTGCCTAGTTGCACTAATCTAGTGTAATCAATTAGGTATGCTTGAGAACAAAGGTATAACTAATCAATAGATAATCTTTAACTAGTAGTCACCTAGCCACCTAGCATATTTCACTGTTCAGTATTTTGTTGGCTCTTTATTTGATTCTTTTGTGACTTTGTCATTAGATACTGGCCGCAATGGTCGGGTGGGCCGTGGCTGGCCATTGCCCAGTGGCAGAGATTTAGAGAACTTTGATGTCCCAGTCGCATCTCATTGTTCACGAGCAACAACTTACAACTTGCAAGTCCTGCCATGTAAGTGATACTTGTATGCGGTATACCTTTGAGGTATATATTATATGGCGGTACTGTCCCTATATAGTATACCGCCGTTACAATTATTTCGACATCAAAGTTAGGTGGGCCCGATTAGTCATCCATAATCAATGCCATGCAATCACAGAAATAATATATAGATATTTTTCAGCAGCTCTACAGGCTCCACCAATGCCTCTATTTTAATTTTTAAAGTAGGATAATATTTACGAAATTTTATTTTATATGTTTAAGTAGTTTGGATTATATATTTATCGAGTTTGGTAGAAGCCAGTAGTGATTGGTCAGTTTTGGACCTTTGGTCATTTCGACTGGCGGCCAAGAGAAAGGGCGAAACCAAACGGCCTGAAAACCGTTCTTTATACAACAATATAAGAATGGTTCCCTAACCCCGTGCAAGCTATGACCTGCCCTCTGACTAGGAGATAGAGGTACAGTGAGTAGATGATAATATAGGAAAATCGCCAAATCCTTAAAAGAAATTAAGCATCATTTCTCTTTTCACATTTCATTATTTGAATTTGAAAGAACTAGTTAGATTCTGTCATTCTGATGCCTTTTCATTGTCAATCCATTTTTGATATCAAAGACTATGACTAAGCAGCAAGAAACGCCACAATAGGCCTAGCCACATCAACTAGCGCCAGGATCCGAATCCAACTCTCCTGATCTTCATCCCTATGTAGTATGTCCATGTGGACCATGCCTTCTTGGAGTTCCTTGTGACATTCTCTCCGGCCTCTTCAAGCCTCCAAACGGCCTTTTTCTCAGCCTATTTATTCCTAATTTCTCTATTTCCAGCTCTATCTCGCTCTGCCGGTCAAGATGGTCATCGATTTGACTGGAGATTCTGATTCTGAAGACCAGATCCGCTCGCAGGTCAGTGTTTTATTTTGGTGATTTCCGAGACCGCGGATTTAGACCCGGACGTGTCATTGTCAACAAAATCTAGTATTTTATAGCCACAACACCCAGCTAGTATGGCCACTACCATATACTACACTGCCATCATGAATCGTCAATTATGATATCCCCTTACTTTGGACCGCCCTGAGTAGCCGTTATCTTATATCAAACCCCCTCTTTCATTTGTGCTTAGAATTTTCATGTCTTGCCGTACGATAACTACAATCTTCGTGTTATTTTACTGTCCGAATCTTCTCAATTTTCATTCACTCTTTCTGGACCTCCACCACACGTCCTATCCGATGTCTCTTAACTAATATCAAGATTAGCTGCACTCAAACATTCAATCGGTCACACCCACTTTTTTCACCCACTTAGCACATCGGACACCGTCATCGTCGGTCCCTTCGAAGAGAAAGTCGGAGAAAAGTCCAGAGTCAGAGCTGTACGAAGCCTTTTTCAACTTCAAGAAAAGACCTTCAGCGCCCTCAGTTGAATCCTCTGCGGTTTCAAGTTCTGGCTACCGTCAGGACAATAAGCCGAATGGCTGTTCCACAGCTACAAAGCTCCAACCTAGCACTCCGAGCCCAAGTCCGTTCATCAAGGAGCAGAGTCTGCCGGCACGTGCCGTCAGTGTTGTAGTCCCTTCTCCATCTCGACAACTGAAGAAGGAAATTGAGTCTGCCAAGTGGGCATCAAGCTCTCGAAGTTGTACCCCTGAGCTGAAGGGAGTCTTGGAGAAATTCTACCCAACTAACGCACATGCAGAGCGCGGTCGTAAGGGTGCTTATCCAGCAGCGAGGAAAGTCAACCGTGCCGCGATCCCTCTGCCTATTGGCACACCCGGGCCCATCTTACAGAACAGACCAGAGGCCCTTGATCAGCAGTACCGCACTCTAGAACGCAAGCTTTGTATGATCAAGGGGCCTAAGATCACCGTTGCGCCAGCTGATGGACCAAAGCTCGCAAAAGTTACCGCGAATTTTGAGTTCATTAATAGCTACAAACTTCACAAGGGGGTTTCTCCTGCTCCAGCTGAATTCATTGGGGGTTGCAGTTGTGGTAAATACTGTGATCCTAAGAGGTGCCCGTGCTCTGAAAAAGAGGACGATTCGACTGACAACATCATTCCATACCAAAGAGCCAGAGACCGCCCAGACCTTCTACTCCTGACTCCAGAATTCCTGGAGCGCACCGCGATGATTTTCGAATGTGGTGCGCAGTGTGCCTGCGATAAGAGCTGCTGGAATCGGGTTGTTCAGCGTGGCAGGACTGTGGAACTGGAAATCTTCCACACTGGCAATCGCGGCTTTGGTAGGCCCACCTTCTCTCTTTATTGCAGTAAACCAGCAAAGAAATTCTGCTAACATTCACTAAATAGGCCTGCGGTCTCCCAGTTATATCAGGGCGGGCCAATTTATCGACTGCTATCTAGGAGAAGTTATTACCAAACAACGCGCAGATATTCGTGAAGAGATTGCTGTGAGAAATGGCCATTCCTATCTCTTTGGACTCGACTTCTCTCCCGAGGTCGATGAAGAAGACATCTATGTCGTGGATGGACAGAGGTTCGGCTGTGCAACTCGTTTTATGAACCACTCCTGCAGACCAAACTGCAGGATGTTTACCGTCACAAACACAATCGGAGACGAGCGTCTCTATAATCTGGCTTTCTTCGCTTTGAAAGACATCCCACCGATGACCGAATTAACCTTTGATTACAACCCTGGCACTGAGAGAAGCAAAAAGGTGGACTCTAGTGTCGTCGCTTGCCTGTGTGGAGAGGATAACTGTCGAGGTCAACTCTGGCCGAGCAAACGCAAGGGCACCAAATAAACTCCATTATCCCCTCGCCTCAAAACCTATCCATTTATCTGTCCCCTCACCTCACATATTCACTTCCGACCCCCTTTCCACTACCATCTCAGACTTCTTTTGTATGTACCATACGCATTGCATTCGGCGTCTGCGTTGCACTGGGAGCGTTTGCACAACCATACTCGGCGTTTCTATCGTTGATGAGCGATCTTACCTCCTTTTTTCTGCTCAAAAGTGCACATTCTACAGGACAAGGCTGGCCTTCTCCCCGACATAATCGACTATTCTCATGAATTACTCTCGATTTCAACATGAACAACTATCCATTGTCTAGCCGGGGCTATCACGATACATGTTGTTTTTTACTGATATGTACCCGCGGAAGGAATAGATGCGTTCTTCTTGTCCTATTCCCTTTTTGAGATATCTGAGCTGTTAAACTGCCTTCTTCAGTTCACCTACGTTGTTAGAGGGAACCTTTCTTCTCAATCGTCGATATTTCTATTCATGTTCTCTTGTCCTTACGTCTTTTTTTTTCTTGGCACATATTTGGGACTTCCTCCATGTAATTTGACCTGCATCTTGATCGTCCTGTATTCTGTTTCTATCATTGGAGTTGAGTGATGCTTTTCTTTTGTTGAGAGCCTGATTGAAGGATACCCCTGTACTGGCGCAGCGCAACGTCCTCCAGTAGAACATGAGCTAGATACCTGAAATTAAATCATGATCATCACAATTGCTGCTCCTTTCCTGAAATAGACTACGATAACTTAAGATCGACCCCAGTGATGGGAAATGAAAGATACGTTAGTATATTCCATCATGGACACTCATCTAATAAAGACTACCATATCACATCCGTCCGTTCTATATCGAATCGGTAGACGCCGTTGACCGTTGACCGTTGACCCAAAACTCCAAATCAACCAATCAACCCAGTTGATAACACCTTGTCCGTATATGCAGCAGATAGCCAGCCACCCTTAATCGCTAATTAATATACCAAGTCGCTTCACGGGTAGCGATAATAGCAAACGTAGAGTCAAGAAAGAGAGTAAAGAGGCAGGAAGGTTAAGAAAGAAAAGACCGAAGAAAAGTGAGAAAGAAAGGGGGAGAAAGAGAGTAGAAGGGAGCGAATACGTTCAAGCACGCCCCTCCATGACCTCGAATATACCGCCCATGACGAACCGCGGTTGGGACACTTGCGAGGCCTGACTCTGGCCAGATGAGCGATCGCCCGCGACAGAAGAGAAAATATTGGCATTCAGATCCATCGGGATCCCGACCGGGTCAACAGGGCGGGGCTCCATGAGGTCGAGACCTTGTCGCTCGATGGCGTCTTCGTCACACCGGGTACGTTCCTCGCTCAGGGCTAGATCGACCTTGGACGGGCGATGGCGGAGGAAGATGAGCGAGGGCCGACGGAAAACGGATGACAGACGGAAGGGGCTCTGGCTACGACTGCCGGCGTCGCTGGCGTCGGAACGGGAGCCGGAGGTCGGGCGGTAACCACGGTTGAAGCGGCGGAATGGGGAGGTGGGCGACGAAGTGGGACTGTTGGTAGTGGAGCTGAGAGGACTGGTTGTGGAATAGCCATCGCTGCACACGCGGTCTTGAGGAGGTTGGAACGATGTGTGCAGGGAGAGGCCGGGGGTCGAGGTGAGGTTGGGATGCATTTTTTTTTGGTGGGAGGGTGATTTAAGTTTTTGGATGAATGGGTATGGGCAAATGTGATCTGTTGAAAATCGAGGGTTGCCGTGCGACTCTTTTTAAGGTTGACGAACCCCGGGGGGTCTTTTTGGCCTCGTCTTGAGCGGGGGAGGCGATATTAAGTTTTAGGGTTTTTCGAAGAAGTTTCAAATGAAGGGAGAATTGGTCCTAACCAGTTGGTGGTGATTTGGAGCTGGCCTTGGACTGTGTTGTGACACAAAGAATGAATAGATGATCGGATCGCCTGGAAGAATGAATGGGCGATGGAATGCGAGAGTAGTTGACGGGATGAATGGATGGATTGGGGGTGGGGGAGGAAAAATGGTATAGATCGCAAAGTAATGGCCAAACGAATGGATCATGGATCTCTAGCGGGTCATCTCAGGCAGGTGAGAAAAATGAAGGATGGTCGAGATGTACAGTGAGATAAACAATAATCACAATGGTGGTAGTAGTTGTAGTAGTAGTTGTTGTAGTAGTAGTAATAATAATAATACGATCGACAGCTCACCCACACGGGACGGTAGCAAATGATTAGGGACGAGAACAAAGCACCGTGAGAGATTAATGGATGGATGAAACAAATACAAAATCCCCCGACGGGAGAGAGTTCCGTGGATACTAATCAAAAATCAAAGAAGATAATTAATAGGTCAAGAGGGAGAGAAGGACCGACCGACAAAGACGGAGAAGAGCGAAAGTGTGAAAAAGAGAGAGTGTGAGAGAGAAGGAAGGAAGGGAGAGAGAGAGAGAGAGAGAGAGAGAGAGGGAGAGGGAGAGGGATAATTCAAAAAAGGATAAAAA